CTGAAACAGACTCCAGTCTCCGAACTGTCAGCACAGGGCCCAACGTGGGGCTCGAACTCACGAACCATGAGATCATAACCTGAGCCAAAGTCAGATGCTTAACTGACTGAGCCACCCAGGTGCCCCTAGATTTCCTTTTGTTGCTTCTTTCTAAAGTGAAGTATGTATTAAATTTGGGGAGTTATAATTTATTTAGCATTTCTATGAATTTCTAACATCAGGATGGATCTGAATTAACTCAGGCTGCATGTTGTCAGAAATCTTTGGCTTTCCTTTCTAGTGTCCGTAATTTCTATCAGCGTTTTTCTCCCTACTGATCTGCCACATAAGAGAAAATTTACAAAAATTTAGTTTATTCCTTAGACTCTTGACCCTAAAGCAAGAGAAAGCTCCTTTTGAGGTTTCTATGGGTATCTATTTTCCACATGTTAAGGAACAAACACTGGAAAGTCACTTGCAACAGCAGTTTATCAGTTTATGTATTTATTAGAATCAAGGTTAAAACTTTAAACTTAATTAATTTTTAGGTATATTTCTTGCTATAAAATAGATGCATTTAATTTATTTTATTTATTTATTTTTGAGAGAGCGACAGAGACAGAGAAAGAGAGCTCACACATGCAAGAGTGAGGGAGAGGCAGGGGTGCCTGGGTGGCGCAGTCGGTTAAGCGTCCGACTTCAGCCAGGTCACGATCTCGCGGTCCGTGAGTTCGAGCCCCGCGTCGGGCTCTGGGCTGATGGCCCAGAGCCCGGAGCCTGCTTCCGATTCTGTGTCTCCCTCTCTCTCTGCCCCTCCCCAGTTCATGCTCTGTGTCTCTCTGTCCCAAAAATAAACAAACGTTGAAAAAAAAATTAAAAAAAAAATTAAAAAAAAAAAAAAAAAAAAGAGTGAGGGAGAGGCAAAGGGAGAGAGAGAAATCCAAAAATACTCTCCGCTATCAGTGCAGAGCCTGACACTGAGCTCAGTCTCACAAATAGTGGGATCATGACCTGAGCTGAGCTCAGGAGTCGATGCTGAACCGACTGAGCCACCCAGGCACTCCTATAATATATATTAGACATTCCCCTCATCTCTGTAGTTTATCTAAAGCCTACAGCTTGATTATACAGCACTGTTCTTTACTATTTCACTATCCTTGTCTCTGTGGGGGAAAAAATGCATGACTTACAAACTGCTTTTATTTTCTTCTGTATTTTATACTATTTTTTTTCCAGAAATGCCTGGAAAAGACCATGCTAAATATTTTTAGAATTATGACTCCCTTGAATGATGTATAATTTTAGCAAGAAACAGAACTTGAACTTGGAGAATAAAAACACACACAGTATACTGGGGTTGAAGCCCAGTATAAATTCTTCTATTCCTAATGTTCATTCTAGTGAAGCTCAGACTGAATGCTGAGACTAATTGAGAAAGGGGATCCTGGGCTAGAGGGTATTAATGAATATTGTTGGTATGTGGGTATGAGAGAGACAGACACAGGCAGAGAGAAAGAGGAAGCTTCAGACAACGACTGCAGGGTGGACAAGAGGGGACTGAAGAGAGGAAGCTTTCTGTTGCCAGAGGAAATGAAAGAGTGATTCATTTTTTTAAATGCAAGATACCCATGGAAGGTGATGACTGCTTACATGGGAGTATATATGACACAGCACACTGCACTGACTTAGACCAAGGGAGTGAGACAGGAAAGGAAGGAAGATGACATTTCAGAATAGGTGAGACTGTGCGATTATTGCTGTGTGATGATTCCTCATGATGTGTAAGAACCAGAACTATGGAATTTATTCTACATTACCCTTCTTTTCAATTGTTTTTGTTGTTATTGGAATGCACCAGATCCAAATGCATAGCATCTACGACCTTTCCAGTGGAAAGGGCAGAGGGCCTCCTATTTCAGGGCCACTGAAACCATGCCTGTTGCCTCTCTGGTGGTCATTCCAAGGATCCAGCATTCTGTGAAATCTATTTTTTCACCTACTTCTAAAACCTGATTTGGTTTATAACATAGGTTTTAAGTTCATCTATCATCTGGAAAGTTTTTTTTAAAAAGTTTGATTCTCTGTTCTTTTAGCATCTGAGGACTTTTTATAGCACCAAAGCAATTGAGATTAAAACAAAATAATTGGATCATCATATTCTCTTTTCTGACCAATGACGTATTTCCCTTCTTTCCTTGCACCCACCAATGAGAGGTACTACATGAAATGTTATCTTGGAGATTATGTGTAGGAAAACAAATGCTTTATAGCATTTTTCCCACCCAACACTAGCAGAAAAATCATACCTATTTTTTCATAATGTCTACTTTTCCCAAATACTTCATTTCAATATTTAAATACATGATATATACAAGACAAGTAGCTGTTAATCATTGCTTAGGGATATTCCACTATCATCTTTAAATGTATACAAACTCCACCTGCTTATTATTTAGTTAAGTGATCAACATTCCTCTCATATTTTCCTTCCAATGACAATGTGTGTATTTATAAATAGGTAGTTTTAAGTAGTTTTTAAAAAAGCGAAGTTACTTTAAAAATGCTGTCAGTTATGCTTTGTCGTTTTTTCTACCATTCATTTGTTTCTGTTCTTATGGCTTTTTTCTTCTCATATTATCTCACGTCCATCTCTTCACAGTCGTAATTGGTTGTTTTATTGCTTGTCTAACAGGCCATTTTTCTCCTCATATAAGTTCCTGCTTTGTTTCTTTGTCCTTCCTTTCTGATTCATTGAGAACATTTTTCCTTCTTTTTAGGGCTGGACTCCAATGTGTAAAGGACTCTTCTGATTTGTTACTTTTGAATTCTTTCATACATAAATAACAAACAATCACACTCTTCTGTATGTATCTATCACTCCAGCAATAATACCGACTCTTACATTTCTGTCATTCTAGTCCTATCTACGTAATTGTGCAATGTAATGATTGGCAAAAATGTTTAATTTCTAGTAAAATACAACTATGTTATCATGACATTAAAATGAAAGCTTCATTTATTCTGTTCATGAATCAAACTTTCTGTTTAGTCCAATAAACTTTCTGGGACAAATCTGTCTTCTTTGAGTTTGCTAAGAACCATTTAATAAATTATTCTCTTTAGAATTTATTTATTTAAAAAATTTTTTAATGTTTATTTATTTTTGAGACAGAGACAGAGACAGAGAGAGAGACAGACAGACAGACAGAGCACAAGTGGGGAAGGGGCAGAGAGAGAGGGAGACACAGAATCCAAAGCAGGCTGCAGGCTCCGGGCTGTCAGCACAAAGCCCAGTGTGCTTTTTGAACCCATGAACTGTGAGATCATGATCTGAGCTGAGGTTGGACGCTTAACCAACTTAGCCACCCAGGTGCCCCTAGCGTTTATTTTGTACTTTTTTAGACATTTAATTATTTTTATGTGGGATATGGAAGGAGAGAAAGAATGATGATAACAAGAAGACATGTTGTAAAGCATTACAACTCATCCCAGCTCTGTGTTTGAGGCTGGCTAGATTATCACATATAAGCATCAGTGTTGAGGAAAGTGAATATTTTGTGTCTGCATAAAAATGTCAGTCTTCTAGACATAAGGTGATAGTATTAAAATTGGGTGAAATAAAACAGCTCTTTAATAAAATAATAGTTAGAAGTTTATAAAGATGAAGTAATGACAATAGTGAGATTTTTATTGGTACAAATGAATGTAAATAGACTTGAAAGATATTAGTTAGAATGACATTCATTCATTCATTCCTGAGTGCCTACTATTTGCCAGGTACTGTGTTAGACGCTTAAAATGGTCCTGCGATAGGCCAAATGAAAATGGTGACCTTGGAAATTTGGGTCTTTAAAATAGAAGATTATGAGAAGATGGATAAATAGTTTAGATTAAAAAAAAAAACAGGTTCATTTTGAAAGGATAACTAGCCATAGGGAAGTTTCTGCAATAGTCGTATCACAATTTTGAATAAGAAATACTCAGAACATATGGTATTAGAGCTTATTCCAGAGGAACAGAAACAGTAGCAATTGTTGATGGAATATGATGTTTTCACTACGATCACTAAATAAACCTTCTAAGAGTGTAGTAAATGCATTTAATATCCCTGAGATCCTAGATACCTTTGTGCCCAGTATTAAATCACAACAAATATTGATCTGTTTCTCTAACACTAAATAGTTATGTGTATTTCATTCACAGTCAAATGTCCAATCAAGCTTTTTTTTTTCCTCAAAATTTTGATGTGAAGACCAAAGGGATTCAGAATATTTAATTCAGAACATTTTAACTCACCATGTGCTTCCTATGAAGTGTTTTTTAACCTTCAATAACCTACAATAGTATTATGAAGGTGTATCACATAACTTATTTACAAAATGTTGATGTATAATGAAGATTTGTCAGTATTGAAAATACACAAGATAACGTGCTATAATTGGAACCCCCAAATTCTGAAATATTAATTCCAAATTTATTTTGAACAATGACAGCAGTCAAAGGTTGCTTTGAAAGCAAAGGTTTCCATTGTGCTAAAAACAGTATAAGGAGTTTAGAAGCATATGATCTCATGTGTTTTGCAAAATGGACACTTTATAGTCAAACTTCACATATACCAAATTTGTGGGTAGCCGTAAGCAGCGGTGTTAATTTTCTGGGCACTTTCTTACTGATGATATTTGGAATAATAGTAATACATTTCCCTGTCCAGAGTCTTATGTTTGACTGTTTTTCTTCTGTGAGTTGGTGGCACAAAGCTGCTTGGCATCTGCAATAATTTCAAGGCCCTTATCAGTAGTGGGAAGTAGTGAGAGACTGAGAAAAGAATTCTGTTATGATTACAGCACACTGAATGTTTATTTTGGATATGATTTAAAAGGAGCCTTTGAAAATAATTCAAAATAAATATTCTAACTTACTAGGATTTTCCAGAGCTCATTTAAATTTGAGAAATTTAGTCTAGGTACTTACTCAAACAGATTGACCCACATTCTTAGTACGAAGCACTATTTGGTTCTTACCAGTTTTGTAGCTTCATGTGCAAGATCTTTGGCTTCTTGGGCAATTTTCTCAGCTTCATCAATAGAGTCCTTAATATTGCTGTAAGCATTGAAGGCTGCAGTAGCATTGAAGGAGATGTTTTTAGCTTCGTCAAGGATTCTGTTGGGATTACCCCCAAAAAAGAACATCAGAGCAGTTGGTACCCAAATGAAGAACATTCTACTTATAACAAATAGGGCTTCCAAATGATCCCAGCCAGGACAATTATATTTCCAAGTCATCATGAAATATCTGCTTATTGTATTATATTGTAGTTGTCAATTTAAATTCATATTCCTAAATAATTCAGCTATGAAATACTACCAACATATTTTTTAATACCCACTCAAACATTTCTGCAACCTCATGCACCATGCAAACTGTGAGCAGTGAGATGATCCTTAACATCATTTGTAAGGCATGCTATATGTTTCAGAGCGCTTGTACCATATTACTGGAATGAATTTCACAAAATCTCTTTAGGATAGGTGTACTTCCCAGATGGATATAAATGAAGGTTAGATAGCTTGTGTCAGGTTACATGACTGACACATCACTAATTAAAAACTTGGAGCTTATATCTGTGGACCTCTAACTTACTGCTCCATTCACTACCCTCCATGCAAAATTGGTAATAGTTTACTGTAAAATGAATTGAGTGTGAATTGTGTCCAGGGTCTTCAAACATGGATATTTTCCTTTGTGTCATGCATATTCAGTATTGGAATAGAACCTTACACATGTTATATATTAAATAACAGATTTATTCGAGAAAATTTTTCTTGGGGTTTACAGGACCTATATTTATATTATGATGACTCCAAAATTGTAGGGGAACATACCGCTTACACGTAGAAGGCTATTTATAGGTCAAACACACCTTGTCACTTGCCCCTCCCTCCTCTGACCCAAATAAGAGTCCTAGCCTATTACACAAGGGAACTATGTAGTGTCTCCCTGGAGTTTGAAACAGAAAAAAACAAAAAAGACTTAAAGACTATGTATGGGGCCACATTTTCAAAAGCCAGTCTTTTAACAATAGTTTTGATTTAATTAAAAATATAAAACTAGAATTTGAAATGGAATGTGTATTTACATATTATTATTTAAAATGCTAATAAGGCAACCACTGTGCTCTCTAATAAAGAATAAAAAATATTTTTTCTTAGCATAGCCTAGGGCTATGTTCACTCCCTACCAAGCCATATTTGAATCCACTTTTAACTCAGACTTTTGAAGCTGCTTCAGTGGAACTTTGCCCAGACCCTCCTAATTAGGCTTTTCCACAGAAAGACCGAGTAGCTCGTATGCTCATAATTAGAGAAATCAAGATTTCAAAGAGATTCTCTACCATTTCTGCGAGTCACAACTTTTGGACAAGCGTCAAGATACAAAGGCATTTGCGACAACAAATGACATACCCATCAAGGACAGCAGATGAGTCATTCAACTGAGCTGCATGGCTCTCAGCCTGGGACACCTTCTCAGCAAGGTTTCTGTCCTGTATTTCCTGGGAGAGGTCATCTATTTTATCTTTCAGCTCCTCAGACATGGGTGGCAACTTAGTTTGAATATCTTCAACGTACTGATGTGTAGAGAAAAGAGGGCATTTTAAGTGTGTGACTACAAGCCTCCAATCGGTTACTAATTTCTCTAGGAGATACAATTCCACACACTTACTTTTTAAAAAGAAATTTCAATTTTACTAACACAGCCAAAAGAGAGGACAGAATAACAGCTGTTATTTAATGAGAGGGATTAGGAAATATATGAAGCCAATTTACACCAAGAAGAACCTAACTATATTTTTCTAAGAAAATGCTACTTTGTAGGTATAAATGCATAAGTGGTCATCATTAGGATCTTTTAGATCATCTGTGTTTCTATTCCCATATACCACAGTGTCTACTGCATTAGGATATTAAAAGTTTGCTAATAGTTTACATTTCTCTTTCAACTAACATTATATAAATATTGAAGCAGATTTGAAGGGCTATCCTAGGAATAAGAAATACCCTTCATCACTGTGGGAAAAAATACAGGTTTGCGTGAGTGTTTATGAGTACCCTCTCATGTCTGTTGGGAGAACAGTGTGAAGTTTTAACTGTTGCCAAGAGCTAGGCACAAGCATAATGGAATAGTCCAAAAACAATTTGATACCCACAAGAAAAAAAATTAGGATTTGCTTATGTTACTGAGATTTTTTGATTGTGTCCTATTTATGAAAGCCTGTATCATTATTATTTTCTTTTCCCTTTGGGTTTTACCAAGTACTCACATCTATGACCGAGTTGATTTCATCTGCAAGACGGTTGGCTTCACTGAGTATGTCATTGCCTTCTTTTAAAGTGTTCTCAGTTTGTTGTTTGCCATTTTCGATAGCTTCCTTCTTTTTCTGTAGCACAGTAGGAACAAAACATCAAAATGCCCTTCGGAGGAAACCCTATCCGACCCTGTATTCTTTCTTGACTTCCTCGAGCTGCCTGAACATAGGCTTTGTGAACAAGGCACGTCGTGTTGACAATGAGAACAGATGGGAATGCTACAAACTACCTGGGCAGTCCTTTGAGAGTTATTTTATTTAAATCCCTATATAAGTACTTTCTTCCTCTCAGTGTGACAAAGTCACCCAAGAGAAGAAAAGTTATGTGATGTTAGCTGAGGAATTAAAGACTACATTTTAAAATTTTTGATTATTTTTTATTTTAGAGGGAGAGAAAGAGAGAGAGAGAGAGCATGAGTGGGGGAGGGGGGCAGAGAGAGAAAGAGAGAGAGAATCTTAAGCAGGCTTCATGCTGAGCATGGATCCTACTCCACAACCCTCGGATCCTGACCTGTGCCAAAACCAAGAGTTGGTCAACCAACTGAGCTACTCAGGTGCCCCTAAAAACTATTAACTTGTTTTTAATATTTATTTAACAAAATGTTTTTTCAATGTTTATTTATTTTTTGAGAGAGAGACAGAATGTGAGCAGGGGAGGGGCAGAGGGAGAGAGGGAGACACAGAATCTGAAGCAGGCTCCAGGCTCCAAGCTGTCAGCACAGAGCCCGATGTGGGGCTCAAACTCACAAGCTGTGAGATCATGACCCAAGCCGAAGTCAGACACTTAATTGACTGAGCCACCCAGGCACCTCAATGTTTATTTTTAAGAGAGAGACAGAGAGACAGAGACAGAGTATGAGTGGGGGAGGGTCAGAGAGAGACACACACACAGAATCTGAAGCAGGCTCCATGCTCTGAGCTGTCAGCACAGAGCCCCATGTGGGGCTCGAGCTCAGAACCGTGAGATCATGACCTGAGCCAAAGTCAGGGGCTTAACCGACTGAGCCACCCAGGCGCCGTCCCTAGAAACTATTTTTAAAGCAAGATCAATACCCATTTTAAACTTGTGTAAGTGCAAGTGCTGAATATGTATTACTGAACATGTGGTAGTACCCTGAATTACATTGGAACTAGACGTTACATTCCAGAATGCAGGGCCAAAGGAGTATTCTGTGAGCATAGACATAAGCAGATTTATTCTATGGGAGTTCGGTAAAAATTGGAAGAAGTGAGATTTTTAAGGGGACTTAGGGAAAGTGCTTTTCAAAAAAAGAGAAATGAACACATGGAAGAATAAACTTAATGGGCTGTTCCATGAAAAGAGAGCAAGCTCTCATTTTTCCTTGATACTGATAGCTTGTCTTAAAACTACATGAAACTGATTCCTAGCCTAGAAGGATAAAATTGACGACAGAGACCTATTGTTATTTTTCTATTTGGAGCAAACATTTGTGTATATGTTTTTCTTTATACATCTCACTCATTCTCCCAAACACTTGTGCATTTAACTGCATCAATTTTAAACCTCTGCCATTTATGTTGTTATATAGATAATAATGCTAGTTTTATATTCATTTATGTCTCAATATGTGCCAGGTAGTTTATAGGATTTTCTCAGTAAATTCTATACTAACTCTACAGGTCCTGTGTTTATCACCTTTTAGAAGAATAGGAACTTGAACAAGTGATTTATTCAAGGTCACACTACCTGTGTAGTTAAGGTTTGAACCTGGTCTACCTGATGAAGAAGCCGAGGTCTTGAGCTATGAAAGGACTGTCACTCCTATTATAGAAATCATTTGCCTTATTTGCACTGGGATAGCACTGATTTCATACCTTTCTCCCCCCTTCTCTTCACCAACCACGTAAGTCCACTGCCAGTCCCTATGTCTTGTTCCAATTCTCTGCTGCTGTAGTTCCCTCCGTGATGTGCTCTCGCTCAGTTCTTTGCCTTGTTTCCTCCCCCACGCTGTTTCTGGTCACTTCTCTGATCACCTATCTAAAACAGCCGCCATCTTCATCCCAATTATTATCTATATACCACAGCAATTACAAACCAGATTCAGGGAATAGCCTGCCTATGTCGGGATCCTAGCTCTGCCCACTCACAAGCTATGAAAAACAGGGGCGAGTGATTTATGTAGCCCCAGATAAAAGGTTTAGTCCCTTGCTTCTCAAAATGTGGGCCATTAACCAGCAGCATCAGCATCACCTGGAAAGGTATTAGAAATAGATAATCTCATCGCCTTTTCAAGAACTACCAACTCAGAAACTGTACTTTAACAAGAACTCCAGATGATTTACATAGTAAAATTTGAGAGGAATTGACTTACAACACTGCCTGGCACACAGCAGACACAATGTAATCGTTAACTATTATAATTACTTCATTTTGGTCCTCCTCTTAGCACTCATTTGTCTGAATTATATTCTACAGGGTGGCCACAAACCATAGAATCATAGATAATGGTATTTTTTTGTATAGATTGAACCATCTTGATTGCCCCTCCTGAGAGTTGCGAAAAGCCCTGTTACTTAGTGCAAATCGGTGACGCCACGCCCTCATAAGATGCATGTACAATACAGGGAGCAGTAGAAATGAACAGCCTGTTGAACTACGTACAACTGAGGAAGCACAACATATTGACTACAGGTGCGATATCGCTGAACATATCACTTATTATGTATACTAGTCCATGCTCCAGACTTTGTGTCTATATTACACACTTGTTTATTGGCTTAGGGATTATCTCCCTCTCTATAATATAAATTCCATAAAAACAGTCTATATGCATCAAAGTTGATTGCATCTCTACTTTTAACTTCTAATTAGATCTTAATTCATTCCAGAGCTCTGTAAATTTAAAACCTTTTTGGGTGAGGTGGAAGGCTTAAGAGCCTGCAAAAGCTATAGTCCTCTCTGTCTAGCAACTAACTACTTTCTTTTTTTTTTTTTTTTAAATTTTTTTTCAACGTTTATTTATTTTTGGGACAGAGAGAGACAGAGCATGAACGGGGGAGGGGCAGAGAGAGAGGGAGACACAGAATCGGAAACAGGCTCCAGGCTCCGAGCCACCAGCCCAGAGCCTGACGCGGGGCTCGAACTCACGGACCGCGAGATCGTGACCTGGCTGAAGTCGGACGCTTAACCGACTGCGCCACCCAGGCGCCCCATAACTAACTACTTTCTTTGCAATCCTTCCTTTTGCAGTTTCCTAATGGTCGATTTAGGGACAGACTGTTCAATACATGTTCCCTCGCGTAACTGAATTGCTCACATTCTTGATGTGACCCAGGCACACGGTCCTCTCCGCCTTCTCTCCATCGCTGCAAGTGCCCTCTGATCCCGTGCTCCAGAAATTTGCATTCAGAGCCCCTCTGATCTAGCTCCAAATGCTGTTTCCAGAGCTATCTTCTACTACACACTTCTGTAGCTCGGCAGTGAGCTTCACTGTTCTGACATTTCCTAACACCACCGTGCACTTCCAGAGCTCTGTGTTGGGGCTCATGTGACCCCATCATTTCTCTCAGTCTCAGCTGAGAGAAATGCCATCATTTTTTGTGCGTGTGACTCTTTTGCTGATATTCCTAGCCTATATTAATCTCAGAATTATATACTGTGAAGCTGCCTGAATGTTAAGTTCTACGAGGCCAGGAATCATTCCTATTCAGTCTCGAACACCTCTGTTACCAACGGCACCTTGCTGAGGTAGGTGCCTGACAGGCATTGTAGATCACCACTGGCTATTTTCCAAGCCTTATACTACATTATTTCCTAATACCAAATGAACTCTCCAGTTTATATGAACCACTCACAAATTTCCCCAAATGTAACTTTAATCCATGACTCCAATGTTACAGTGGCTTCTGATAGTTTCCAGGATAAACCCCAAATTCCTTAACTTGATCATAATGTACTTGGTCTTTTATTGCTCAAGTTCTGGACCTCACCTGTCTTCTCTGGCTTTCCATCCCCTGTGAAGTCGTCATTCTAATCCTATCAAACCGCTGAATTTTCTCCCAAATGTTTTATATTTTCTTTTTCCTCTCCATATCTTTGCTTGTGGTTTTCCCTATTTCTGGAATATTCTTCCTTTTCTGCTTCGACTCACTTGTGCTTATCATGCAGGACTCAGCACACATATCATGTCCTCTATGAAGTCCTCCTTAACCCAGGGGGTGATTTAGATGCCCTCTCTTTGTTTAGTTTCATGATGTTACTGCAGTGCATGAAGTGACTTGTGTGTACTTCCCACTAAACACAAGTCACCTGAAATCATCAGAGATGGTGTTTTATTCTTTACTTCAATGGTTCTCAAACATAAGGCTACATCTGAATCACTGGAGGCATTTTTAAAACACAGGTGGCTGGGTGCCACTCCCAGTTTCTGAGTTGACAGATTTGGGGCGGACCTCAAGAATTTGTATTTTTAACAAGTTTCTAGTTGATGCTGATGTTGCTGTTCCAAGGATCACACCATAAAGACCAGTGCTTGATCTAATCGACATTTGTTTGGCACATTTATTGAAATTAGTAGGGGCTTAGTAAGTGTTTTTAACAATACATGCTTATCTCCTTAAAATAAATAACATTGAGTTGTGTCTTAATTATAGCACCTTCTTTGTGAACACAGGCACAATTTGTCTATTTAAAACACAGCTCATGGGGCACCTGGGTGGCTCAGTCGGTTAAGCCTCCGACTTGGCTCAGGTCATGATCTCACAGTTCGTGAGTTCGAGCCCCGCATCAGGCTCTGTGCTGACAGCTCGGAGTCTGGAGCCTGCTTCAGATTCTGTGTCTCCCTCTCTCTCTCTCTGCTCCTCCCCTGCTTACACTCTGTCTCTCTCTCTCAAAAATAAATAAGCATTTAAAAAAAAATAAAATAAAACACAGCTCATTATTCAATTGAACGGATACAATGTGTCAGTTGTTCTCAAACCAGTATACACATCGGATTAATCTGGGGAGAGTTTTAAAATATGAACCCCAAACCAAGTCCAGACTAACCAACTCAGACTCTGGGTAGGAGCTCAGGGACCCTGTCTTTTAACAAACTGTTCAGTTGATTCTCAGTCAGTTGGTGTAGCAGGAAGCTTGGTAATTAACCTAATGAGCCCTGGCAATCTTAAGTAAGCTGTGCCTTACTCATGTTAATTTCATCAGTTTATCTATTTACTCCAGTAAGTTTTTAACAAGCCTTTAGTTAAGCATGACACATAAAATGAAAATACAAAAAGGACCACTTAGAATCGCAATACTGACTACATAAGCTCCGGGCATCTCTAGGGGTGCCCAAGAATGATGGCTCCTGGTTTTAAATATCACTAAAAGGACGGAGTAGCTGAAAGGACCATTTACTGCACCACTATAACTCTTCTTGAAATACTTCCCAAATGCTTATTATGCTTTCCACACAGGTAATTTTAATTTCTTAAACTGTTGCCATAAAATGGAGAGGTGCACCTCCGGGTAAGTTACACCACTGGTGTGTCCCCGAGCAGGATGAATCATGTCAGCACTGGGGATAGGACGATAGCCCGACATCCTGCCTCACAAGATGGCACTTTTTCTTTAATATTTCCAGCATGTCAGTAGACTCCAAATTGGTTAAGATTAGATACCTCAGTTAGGAAAAAAGTGAGCCTTCTCCATCTTCCATCAACATGACAAGGGTGAATCCCAGAAAAAAAAAAAAAAACCTTCAAAAAATTAATTCATCCTCTTACTTCTTACTCTAAAGGAAAATGGAAAGAAATGAGATGGAAAAAAATATCCAGATTTGTTTTATTCAACTGCCATGCCACAAACATTTTTGAAAGCATCATATATGCCAGAGAGTGTTCAGTTATAATGAAGGTGAGATTATACACTAGAAGAGAAAGAGATTTGCCGCTGTTTTCAGATCTGTTGGGGTCAAATACTTTGAAAACAGCAAAGGAAGTTTTGTTTCTGGGGAGAAGTTGTTGTTTAAATGCCTAATACAGTTTGCACCATCATACGTGCTGAATTTACTATTGGGAAAAGTGATCAAGTTGTCATGGTAAGTATTAAGAAAGATAAAGAAGGAACAGAAGGGAGGAAGGAAGGAAGAAAAAGGAAGGCATTGAGCGACGGAGGGAGGAAGAAAAGGAAAAATCTATTCTGGCTCTAGCCTCATAACCTCTCTAAAAAAGGCAGAAGGTGCCCATCATTTCTTGAGGAGAAAATCATCTCTTGTCGGTGAGGAAAAAGAGGGAAAAATATAACTCAGACGTGATATGTTCATGTTAGTCCCTGTTAAAATATCATTTGCATGGAACACATTGCAAAGGAAAAGGGAACCAAAATCTTTCCCAAGCACTGGACTCTCAGTGTGCCCAGATTCCATTAGGAAATAAGTTGGCACTTTTGTGACCCTCAGTAGTTAGATGTCTAAACAATGGTTTGTGGATTAGATTGCATGGGTTACAAAACCATATGAGATTGGTACTCAAAGATACCTTGGATGCAATCACATAAAATGCACTTATTGTGTAGTTTGAAGTTAGAGACTTTAACTGACTTGTCCAAGGCATATTTCTAGTTAGTGACACAGTCATCATTAAGATCAAGGTCCCCTGACTCCCAGGAAAGAGTTCCTTCCACTGTACACACTGTCCTTAAAACCTTCAATACTTTGTTATCTAATTTTATTTGAGTCTATGTCAATGGTCCTTGATTTTTTTTTTTTTTTAAAGGATCATTTCTGGTGTGCCTGGGTGGCTCAGTCAGTTAAGTGTCTGACTTTGGCTCAGGTCATCATCTCATGGTTCCTGAGTTCGAACCCATGTTGGGGTCTGTGCTGACAGCTCAGAGCCTGGAGTCTGCTTCAGATTCTGTTTCCCTCTCTGTCCCTCCCCTGCTCACCTTTGCTCTTGTGTGTGCGCACGCGCTCGCTTTCTCTCTCTCTCTCAAAAATATAGTCATTAATTTTTTTTTAAAAGGATTATTTCCTGATCTGCTTCTTAGAAGTCTCCTTTCAGAGTTGTTCTTGATTTCTGTAAATGTGCATCAACTTGACTTTTCCAGCTATGTTCAATCCCTGCCCCATCCAACCCAGCCCTATAGATTCAAATGAGAATCCCTAAGACTCACCTCCAAAGCAGTCATGTTTTTCTGATTTGCTGCAGATAAGCGATTAGCCTCTCTGATTTTATCGGTGGCTTCTCTCAACAGGTCCCAAGCAGCATCCACTTTATCTTTGTTGTCTGCCAGTATCGCCCGGATATCCTTCTCTGCTTTTTCATTCTTCTCTCGGGACTCTCCAAAGAACTTCTTCACCTTCTTCAGAAGGCCTTCTGCAGCCCTGCAGTCACCCCCGCCCAGTAACAGACAATAAGCCCTTGTCACTGCCTCATGGTTTATTGGTATTAAATAGCAATGCTAGTATTAAATCAATGGAAAATAAGACGATATTTAAAGCAGACTGACTGTGTACTAAATCAAGATGAAAATGGGTACCTGAAAAGTGGCAAGGCCATTTATAATTAATATGAAAGCACACAACATACACGCATTTAAAATGTGTTAGTAATATAGCATTTTCAACTGGAAAGAGTCTCATGTTATTTTCATAATCTGACTGATGAAGTAAGTTTTATGGTTTGCTTCACATACAAAAAAAAAAGTCACCTGATTCACCATAGTGGTACATTTTCTCTGTTACTTTGGATATAAGGTATGAACATTGATATGTTTGGTTAAAAACTGTTAGCAGAACTGTGTTATTGACATGCTAATATGGCATCATGATGTTGACCTACTTTTCTTTTTCTTTCAACTGAGTGATCTGGGAGTTTCCTGAATTTAACTTAATGGTTTTCCTAAAGTGATAATATTGCCCTTATGAAAGGCAAACTACTTGGAAAACAGTAGTTCTCAAACTAACAGCCATTATAATCTCCTGGAGTGCCTGTCAAAACTGATTGCTGGCCCCCATCCCCAGATCTCTGGATTCAGTAGGTCTGCAGTGAGGTTTAATACTTTGTATGTCTAACAAGTTCTCAGGTGTTGCTGATATTGTTGGCTTAGTATATATTACTTAAATATTAATAACACCATCACTTTGAAGTTAGCGGACTATAAATGTAACAATGATTTTTTTTTTTTCCTGAGTGTGTGGTCACAGAGTTCATTTGCATTAGTAAAATCACTATTGCTATTTCCAACCTCAAATTTTCAGCCCTTATTTCAAGGTATTAGGCATTTATTATTTGACGACCCTTCTATTCAGCATCTCCTAAAATGACAAAATGTATAGAATGGGCTGCTAAATTCATAATTATCCAAAGATATTTTTATTAACACACGCAAAAAAAAAACCCTTTGATGTTTAGAAATCCCTAATACAGGCAATTAATAAAGCAAGCCCATTAGCCTAATTGTGTAAGGGACAGCAACCCAAAAAAGATCATTTATTTGATTAAACATAGGCAAAAACATACTTTTAATCAATTTTAGAGCAAGACAAATTATTACTAAGTGGAAAATAAAATAGCATCTTCTTCTACTTATAAGTGTGATGAAAATTTTAGAAAATTGTAAACAACCATTTGAAAAATTCAGTTTATCAAGTAAAAAAATAACAGAGTATCTACTCACACTAACTCATCTTCGGCAACTTCCTTTTGTTTATCAAGATTTTTCCTCCTCAGTTCAGTCATCATCTGATCAATCTCTTTCTGAAGCCCTTGCAAATTTCTCTCAAAGTCCTGGTCTTGAATTCCTAGAGTTTCATTTAGTCTCACAGCTTTTTCATTTACAGCTGCAGGGGGTAAAACAAATTTTGTAAATTAGTAAACAAAAATGCCACATGCAAAAATGGCACCAAGAGTCTGCTCTTCCCCACGATCTCCAAATGAAATGTAGTTTGCCATGAGTGTTCCTGCTGGTAACAGGGAGGTAGTTAATAACAATCCATACCAATAAGGGAAAGGTGACATATTTCTCCATTTTATATTTCTTTTGGGAGGCACAGTCCTTAAAGGAGGGTGTCTCTAGTTCCCAAGGAAGAAAATGCAAACAAAAAAATGGTTCCAACCCTTTCCAGGGAAGAGGTAAGCAATGATACATGTAGCATTCCCTTTGGAAGAGGAAAGCACAAAATCTGTACAGCCGAGAAGACACAATCACATTCAGTCCATTTTAAAATCCTGAGTAGGGAAAAACTATCAGTGAGGAGATCTCTGAAAACAAACCTGCCCTTGTACTTCTGCACAGTTCTGTGCTCATTTGGTGGAAGGAATGAGGGAGGAAGCACTGGTCTTGGGACAAGGGCTACGGATTAGGGCTCAAAGCTACCTTCTAGCAATAACATCCACTGTAAGCGTCTGTGTTTATTAAGCTTTAAATAAAGTTCAAACTGTGCTGTTCAGAATCTTAGGATTCCCTAGGTGCTCCAGGTATTCTACACATGATGTCTATTCTGTCAAGTGTCTATTTTATAGGTTAGTGTTCTGGGCAAGATTTCATTTGAAAAAAAGAATTCTATGTCGGATAAAAGTTTGAAAAACCGGTGCGTTGAAACATTTATGCAGTTCTACCCATTAGTTTTAGGCCAACTTCTCTTGAAGTGTGTTTTATGGCATATTAACTTAACAAGTTTAAAGGAGAGGTTTTCTCAAACTCTTGTGTGCCAAACCTTATTTCTATAATATTACCTGTGAACATCCTTAGAATGAGGTTCTTGGGTTGGCTAAGAGACATTTTCTACTATTCAATGCTCTATCTTAAGATGCATTTAGGACATAAAGAATTCTGAAAATTCATTTATATTCTTGGAGAAATGTTTCTTATTGAAACTGGTTGGAGCTGTATTCAGAGTTCCAACGATAGTATTCAGAGTTCCTGAAACAGGTACACATAGGCCAAATAGAGCAGCCATGAAGGGTGTGACATGAGCCATGAAGGGTGTGACAGTGGTTCTGAAATGTGGTCCCCAAACAAGCATCATCAGCCTCACCTGGGAACTTATTAGAAATAGAGATTCTCAGGCCCTGTTCCATATCTACGGAGTTTAAAATTCTGAGGGTAAGGACCAGCAATCCATGTTCTAACAAGCCCTCTAGGGGCTTCAGATGTATGCTAGAGTTTGAAAATCATGGTTTAGCAGAAGGAATTGAGTTTTAACCTTTTATTTATCCTTCCAAAATGCATCTTTTGAATTCTCTTTTATTTTTTATTTATTTTGAGAGAGAGAAAGAGAGAGTGTGTGTGCATGTGAGATGGGGAGGGGCAGAGAGAAAGGTAGTGAGAGAGAAAATCCCAAGCAAGCTCTGTGCTATTAGTGTGGAGCTGGACGCTAGGCTGGATCTCATGAACCAAACTGCGAGATCATGACCTGAGCTGAAACTAAGAGTCAGACACTTAACTGATTGAGGCACCCAGGCACCCCAAATTCTCTTTTCATGATAAATGGATTTGGTTAGAAAGTTGCTGCAGTCAACTCCTTATTCTGATAGCCATGATTTAATCTGTAGAACAATTTAAGTCAGGTGCTTTAAAGAACAAATATGGTCATTCCTAGCCTTGTGGTAGAAATTATTGCACATGTGCTGTTTTCCTAGAAGTTAGTGAGGGTGGCTCTTTCTTGGTCAACTACTTAACAGTCATACTTTGAAATACACCAAGGAAACTTCTCAAGATTCCACCACTACTGTTGCTAAGTTATCACCTAGGCTTTATTGTGTTTGTGAAGGAACCACAGTGACCATGGACTGATTAATTGGAAAGTTCCTTCATCCAGCAGGCTTTGTGAGAAATATGCCAGAATGCCAATGATTAAATGTAAGGTTTATACTTCCTACATTTCAAGGAAGACAGTAGATTGACCTTTCCCTATGGTGCATCTCCTCCTTTGGTCTGAGTGCATGTCTGTCTGTATGTTGATTTTAACTAATTACATTATATAACTAAACACTGACTCATTTGCATTCAATTTTTTTTTATTTTAATGAAAGAGATAAATTCCACTTTTCAACTTGACAAAGTTTTTTGTTTTTCTTTTATTAAGTGAATATATAAGTGAGCTTTGATTCGAGATATTTTTGGAATTTGATTGAATTTAGCTTCTGGACTTAGGTGGCTGTAAAGGATTAAATATGAGATACGCCTCACTTGTGGTCTATTCTCAAAGTTAAACTTCTCCAGGGAAGAACTTGCTGGAAAAATGAGAGAGAAAAGGAAAAGACAAAGATTGCTGTACCTTTTGGAACCATGAATCATTTCTTTTAAGTGAAAGTAATATGTAAGCAACTAGAAGAAATTATTAAGGCACAGCAGCTGCTTTAGTAAAATGATATTGTATTAAGAAAGGAAGCATCATTTTAATAGAAGAGATATGATTGCTTCACTGCTTTTACATGTGGAATTTGGAAATTCTCTGAATATTTTTAAGCTAAAGATGAAGATGTTATTCAGTCTCTTTTTCAAAGGTATGCACTCTCAGTTTAGTACATTTTCAACAGAATTGAAAATAACTGTAACATTAATATATCTCTTAAATTTATTTACTTATTTCTACTTTATTTCAAAGGGAATTTTAAGTAGTTTTGAAGTCTCTTTAAAACAAGACAAAATTCTCATAAAAGGAAATGGGGTAAAGATAAAAAATAATGTAAATCAGAAGACATATTAACAGTATCTTAGTAGCCAAAGTAGCAAGGGATTATAAAGGATAACTTAAGAAGTAAACAGTATCTGCAACATACAAATAGATTAATTCTTCAGGAGAAACAAAGTTGTTTTTCACACTGAGCCTAAAAAAAAAAAAATCTTCTGATGGATAAATTTATCATGAATGACAAATACAATTGTGACCTGTGAAATAGGAAAGAAGGTGTCTAGCATTTCTTAAGTCCTAATATGTCAGAGCATGTATATAACATGCGTATATGTACATATATATATCACTCATTATTCTAATAATGGAATAATATGGAATAACATATAGTATATTTGTGATATAATCAGGAGTCCTAGCAAAGTAGATTTTAAACTATGGTGAAATAAGAATGCCTTAGATGAATGGACCCTGATTATCTATGAAGAGGCCAGGACTTATAATGGAAGATAGGGTGAGTAAGGTATTCTATCTATCTAAAAATAAAACTGAAGTAGACAAATGCCAGGCTAAAACATTTGCTTTTCCCACAGCAATTTATTGTCACTAATAAAGCCTAAAAGTACTGTTATTATCCACAATTAGTGTAATTCTAAGAGGAAAAATGAGTGTGTATAACTTACTTAAGGCTTTTGATGAGTTTCCTTTTTTTAAAAAGATTCCTGAACTGCTAAGACTTAACAGCACATATAAACATCTCAGGATTTAGTTTACCTCTGGCATATTCAAATTTTAATTTTCATAAAATTTTAACAGTTGGATTAATTTTGCCAAAGTTCTTTTATAAGGGGCTGTGGTTATTATTTTTGTTATCATTTACATTAGCACCCACTGGAAGAAGGGAGCAATGTCCACACTTCTCTCAGGTACAGATCACAGCTATCCCACCTGGCACTTCACATGAATTAGAAAAAAATGTGTCCTGTCTGGACAGACAGGACCTGAGTGTCTGACTGACGCACACTGGAGAGAATGGGAGACACCTATGGGGATACATAACCCTTTTCTCTAACGGATAGATTGTGGGTGATGAGCAAAACCTGGACTAAATATCGTCTCACTCTGCCCCCTGTTGGTGCCTTTGTCCTGTGCACAAACTGGCTGGTGGGTGCAACGCAGGGAAAATGAATTAGCGGTGCTAATGTTGGTTGGAGTCTATTGAAAACATGTACTAGCATTTACTCTTAGGTATGAATATTTGATTGAAATGATTTCAAAATAAGTTTCCACGATAGGCTGCTAAGTATTGAGTGGTTGAGATTGAGGTATAAGGAAAAGGAAAGTTACTGGGGTATTGACCATTGCCTTCATGGATCCAAGCAGAAGGAATGTTTTGTGTGTGTGTGGTGGGGGAGGGGGTAGGGAGTGCTGGCTGGAGAACATTTTAAGTAGCATTAATGGAAAATAAAACCAGGGAAAGCACAATAACTCCATCTAGCAGAGGATAAACCATAATGAGTTAATTAAGAATTTTCCAGTAGAATGTTCCAGATCCTGACATGTTTTGCCTCAGATTATTTGCCTCAGACTAAAACTCTGTTGCTTCCTGCAGTGGGAAATCTTTGGGAGTTTCGGTCTCTTCTTAGCCAGTGATTCCTAAGAACTACCTGTCAGCATCTGCCTTAAAGTTTATCCCGTGTCCTGATTTATTTGGCTATATTACAAAGCAAAATATCTAAAATACACCGTAGAGCAATAAAAATGTTTTTTTTAGAGAAAAAAAACCCCATGTTTCCTCCTTTCTAAGTATGCATGCATGTTTATTTTATATTAATATATACTGAAGATCTAGTTTTTTTGTTAAATCTCTTTTTCTCATCTGGGCTTTAGCCCCAAAATGGCTTCCACTTTGATCTTCAGTCAGATTGGTAGATGCCAAGAACCAGCTCCTAGAGAATTATGGACTAAATGCAGTGTAGCTTCTGGTAAGGTAGCAAATCCAAAAACCAAGCACCAGATGTTCATTAAAAACAGCACCAAGTAGTTTAAAAGCCATTTTGAGAAATTAAAGTGCTGCTTTAATGTACTGAGTAGAATGTTAAAATTAGCTTTTTAAAAAAGTTAACAATCTCTTGGTTTTGAATACAAACAATAGCAAGGCATAAGTTATCTATTTGTTCTTTAATCAGAATAGCCATTCCTCAAAAATTAAAGCATTCCTAAGGGAACACATTTAATTTTCCATGACTCTGCACTCATGATTACTAATTCGCTGTTGTCCCTAATTTAACACTGTAGATTGCAGACTCTCAGCAGACAACGCCCTTGAATATATCAACCAAAATACTTTTTAAACCTGACCCTCAGACTGATAAATGTTATCTGTTACTGGAGAAATTCCAGTCCTGTGTAATCCCTTTTTCTATTTTTCTGTTGGGAGACATAATGATTAAATTAAATGATTCTAATACCTTCTGCATCCTGGGCAAGCTCCTTAATGAATTCTCCTAAGGAGTCTGCTCTCCTGTTGGTCCTCTCAGCATCCTGTCCAGTTTGCTCGCCATCTGCTGTCACTTTGGTCGCCTAATGATCCAAATTCAGGAAAAGCATAATTAATTGAGATGATGAAGCTCCAGCTAGATAAGCGCCCACTGGCTACATTTTCTTTCAAATATTATTCCGAGCCAAAGGCAATCGATAAATTATTGATCAGATATACTGGAAATGACACCCTGTGCTCAAGTACACAATTAAACTTTATTACTTCTTCCATTAAATGGAAATCAGAGAGCTGTATTTGGTCTTTTTAAAACCCTTGCTGTATGCAATGAAATAAAAGAAGCGATAAAACACAATTATTTTTGAAGTATCTTTAAGGTACAGTTGCCAAAAGTCTTTAATGGATTCTTCAACCTCCACATGTTGCAGTTTTGTCCATATTTTATTTACTGAAAAAGCATGGAGTCCAGCAATGATCTCTTGTGGAGACACAGGCAGTCTGTCTCAATAAGCTTGATCCTATAGATGCAGTTTAGATCAATACATTAATTAAAGAAACAAAGAGGGAGAAATGCTTAGCTACCAAGTAGTAAATGCATGTTTTGTAACACTCTAAAGATGCCAGTAAAACGTTAAAGAAGAATAAATGTTAACTTCACCCATGTCATCCCCAGAAAAGATGACTGTTAATCACAAAACCATACATCATCATCAACAAAATAAAACAACTTCACAAACAGCCTCACTTCCCAAAGGTTATCCTGGTACATTTTCACCTTCATTCACAATGAAGATGCCACTTGACACAAAGGAATCCATTTAATGTGTTCATAGTTGAGATACACTATATTTAGTCAAATAAAAATGGCATGTGTAACATTCAAAGTTTCCTAAAAGATACTATAGGGTTTAGAGCACCTTGAAATAGGTTACATTTCATAATTCTATGCATATGCATATGCTAATAAATATGCCTTTTTTTTTTTTACTAAAAAGATAGGGATAATCTAACTACAGAAAATGAATTAACGAATCACAAACTGTCTTAAAATAACTTGACTAAGGTCCAAATTGGCAGAGTATTAATAGTCTATAATCCTGTACCATAGTACTTGCATTCTAGACATGCCCAGAGATTCTACATTTTTTTATACATAAGTGGATTTTAAATAGAAATTAAAATAGAACTAAATGCTTGGCCAATACAGAACATGGTAAGAGATGTTATAGAAATTATACTGCATTTTGTGATTTCCTAGGGGCAGTTAGAGTTTTAATTCATGACCAGTCTTCAAGGTTTTGCATAAAAGAATATAAAGTCTAGTTATCGTCTAATTCCTCAACCTGTTACTATCACAAGCAGAAGGATGAAAAGATGCATTGGAAGTTTTAAAAGTTTCTCTTTACAGTTTGCAGTAAATATACAAAATTATTTGGAGGGTTCTCATCAATAGGTCGTTACTTTGTACATATACACACCACATGCATAAACTCATACATGTAATTTTTTAAACGTTACTTTTGAATTACTAATGTCAACTGCTTAAGATCTTGGCCTTCTAAACTGTTGTAGATGTTTGTCTAGGCTGGACTTGACTGTACTCTATAATATCACTATTTTCAGATTGCACAGAATATAATAAGGGACTTGATCTACATTTTGGTAATGTTTAAGTATCTTAAGAATTAATGTATCACCAGCACTAGTATCTGTTACCACACAGAAAATGTACATTATAATTTAAACTTAAAATCTGGGGCACGTGGGTGGCTCAGTTGGTTAAGCGTCTGACTCTTGATTTTAGATCAGGTCATGATCTCACAGTTTGTGGGATTGAGCCCACATTGGGCTCTGTGCTGACAACATGGAGCCTGCTTGGGATTCTCTCTCTCTCCCCCTCTGCCCCTCCCCAGTTCATGCGCGCGCTCTCTCTCTCTCTCTCTCCCCCTCAAAATAAATAAACATTAAAAAAAATAAACTTAAAATTTATTATCAATATCTTATCTATATTACTAAAAGATCGTAACTTACATATTGACACCATGAAGGCTACCAATTCTGGTTAATAGCTGAGAGTATCTAATTTTTTAAAAAGAAATGTATATTGATACACTGTCTCTTTTAAATTCTGGATGATCAAGATAGCATCCCCTGCCTTGATTTCTACTTTCCTAATTAATTTATACAATAATGTGTAAGAGTCATCATTTACACACGTGGTACTGATTGATTATATGAGCATTCCAATAGTAAGATGTCATGAATTCGACATGACCTATGGTAAGAAAGAAGTGAAAAAAATTGGCATTAAGACCCTATGAAATTAAACTCCCCAACTTCTATTTAGCATGTGAAATATGCCAAATTCTTTCTTTCTTAGGGCCTTCTGGGATCCTGCTGTCTCTGCCTGGAATGAACTTCTCTCTTATCTTTTCAGAGACGATCCTTGTCTTGTGTCATTTTTCAGCTTCAGTGGCCCTTCCTGGTGTGGCCATTCCCAGGGCACCTAGCCAGGTTTTCAAATTTCTGCAGAACATTTTCTTCGTAGTACCAAACATTTTAGAATTACTTTAAGGCTTCCCTATTTATGGGTTACCTCCTTGACTAAAAGTCAAGCTGTAAGAGAGCAGGAACTTGGTCTGTTTTGCTCTTCACTTTATATCCAGCTCTTAGAAGGATGCCTAACTACTAGCAAATATTGACTGAATGTTCAATAAATGATTAAACAATTACCCAACACGTCTTGCCAACCTTGTTACCATTCTTATTGCCTATTTTTCTATAAACACTTCCAGAAAGAGCTTTTGTTTTATTGTTCCTTAACCTCTCTCGAATTATCTAAAATAAATCCAGCCTCTAAGAGTCAGTTCCTACCTAACCTTCTTTATGAAGCCATCCCTAACTGTTTTGGCTCATGCTTTCCTTTCTTACATTTCCTTTTCTTTCTTTTTTTTTGCTCTTAAAAGTTTTCTTTTAATATGCCATGAGATATCTTGATTATATATTTTCCAAGATACTTTTCCAGCTGCATCTTTCAATTCTTCCAAAAGATTTTACCAGTCTATCCAATGTAATACAAGATGCTGCATTATACTTCTGTCCTCCTTTTTGAAAGCAATACAATCCTAATGACATCAATGGTCATACATTCTTATCTAATTAGGAAAAATATTTACAAACATCAGGAACACAGTTCTGAAACACCTGTATTACTTCTGAACTGAATTGGCATTTCCTGGCTTTAAAGAAAGGCAGCAGTTTTAAGCTTGTGACTTGCTGATGAACACATTTCTGGTGAGGGAAAGGGAAGGGGAGTGAATGTGGCATTTCTCCGTTGGCCTCAAAGTGCTAAATTTTACAAAGGGATACATCCAAAGCAAATATGCAATGGTGATTTTTGAAACTTTTATTGCAACACAACAATGAAGTAAACAGTAGACACCTCCCATTTTGTTTCCTAAAACAAACCAAAAAAACACGTAAACAGATAATTCTGCCTATTCTTGTACCGATCCTCACATTCAATGATCAAAAAAAATTTATATGTCAGTAATTATTTACATTTTAAGAAGTTCCTCTTCTCTCCTTTCCCCCCAACCCCACCAACTATTTAACTTGAAAGAATCGGCTTTCTTACACATTAACTTTATACATATTTGAAGAAGCAACGATAACTATCAATAACTTGACATTTCTGTTTACAGCTGATCCAATTTCTTTCAATTTCACAAAGCCATTATCAAGGGCTCCCACAAAATAGAGACCGTAGGTTCTAGGTAGCAAAGATTCTTTCAGAAATCAATGTTAAGTCAAAGAAATATAAAGCAGGGCATTACACTAAATTTTTGGATCCAATACACTAAAAAAGGTGACACCCAGAAAAAGTTACCTAGTTTTTTTATAGAAGAAATAATGACCTGTAAAAAATCTGATTTCTGGTTGTGTAATAGTTTACACACTATACGGATTTGTGGCATCTGCTAATTCAAGCAGACACGTACTGTATATATATCTGCCCTATATCCCCACCCCCAACAATCTCATACCTTACACCAAGTATTGTAGCGATCAGCCCAAGTCCCTTTCAATCTTCATCAAAGTTTTGCTGTGGAAGGAAACTGACCTCCAAGTTCTTATTCTTCTCCCAAGCAAAATATGCTCACATCACAAGTCCTTTGGGAGATCCTAGTACCTGTAATCTTTCTATACCTTCTCATTCCTGAGGTATTACCTGAATGTAGTTCACAGGACCACTTCCACCTTCTGCAATTCCTCCCCGACACCTCCACTCCCTCCTCCTCAACTACCCGCTACTTGAACTGGTTCACCGACCACCTGAATAAAATGCTCCTGGTGTTGGCTAATTTGCTGCGGTAGTTGAGAATTTTCTTGACCTATTATAGTGGTGCTAGAAACAAGGAAGAAGTTTGTTGAATAATTTGCCTCAGCTGTTGAAACTAAGGCTTATCTGCAAAACTCCAAGGGGATGTCCTCCAGAACGTGTAGGCATTGCTGCAGGTGCAGCCATTGAACACTGAGGAGCCCCAGGACTAGCCACCAGAGGGGGAGCAACCACAGCCTGATTTCCTGTACCTCCGGGATTCCCATAAAAAGGTGTTCCACTGCTCTGTCAGGGTGGTGGAGACTGGCTCTCAGGGCCGCAATTATTTGCTGGCCTCCACAGCCTATGAACATGACCTCAGTTTCCACAGCCCATAGACATGACCTCAGTTATCACGGTCTCACAAGACAGACCCTCACATGTGCACTGGTTCCATTTTCACAGAGGTTTGACCCAGGGGCGCCTGGGTGGCTCAGTCGGTTAAGTGCACAATTCTATTCCGGCTCAGGTCATGATCTCATGATTGGCGAGTTTCAGCCCCACGTGGGGCTCTGCGCTGACAGCATGGAGCCTGCTTGAGATTCTCTCTCTGCCCCTTCCCCACTCTAGTGTGCTCGCTCTCTCTCTCTCTCTCTCTCTTTCTCTCTCTCTCAAAATAAAATAAACTTAAAAGAATGTTTGGCCAAGAAGAATCTCCTGATGTACCATCCAGTCGATGTTGGGCTAGTAGCCACTGGTGTT